GTATGTATATGTATACGTGTATGCGTATGTGTGTATGTGAGTATGTATATGTATACGTGTATGCGTATGTGTGTATGTGAGTGTGTATATGTATACGTGTATGCGTATGTGTGTATGTGGGTATGTATATGTATACGTGTATGCGTATGTGCGTATGTGTGTATGTATATGTATACGTGTATGCGTATGTGTGTATGCACATATAAACATATCAATCATTGTAGTGTGTTTGCTGCACAATAACTGTCCCCTCCAAGTCTCCACCCATAAATACCACCCCCCACCTAACAAGTGAATGAATTTTTTATCTCTTCTTATAATTTTCTATCAGTACAGTTCTGCACTCTATCTTACTATGAAATATTTTGTGCATTTTGGGTTGTCTTTTCCACCAAACTGTCCCCTGACCTTCTTTCTCCCTCCAGTCCTGAAAGGGACTTCAGAGCTTCAGTAATCCAGCGATTTCTCAATCAGATGTGTGCCTTTTTCTAGCTCTAGGTGCCCCCCCAGTCCTGACAAGTCCCGCTGAGCTCCCTGGGAGCCTCCCTTGAAGAGTGAGCAGGCACAAGTGGCCTCGGGTGGCTCTCTTAACTTCTGTTTCCAGTGTCTCTCTCTGCTCCCACTGGCAAAGAACAAATTATTTTCAACTTTTTATCTGCTGTTGTGCTTTGCCCAGTTGATAGCTGGAGTAGCCAGAGAAGGATGGGATGTCTCAGTTTCTAGAGGGAACAGATGGGTTTCCAGTAGAGCCCTGCTTAGATGTAAACAGGATTAATACCTGCACACTAGTGACTAGTTCATCCCCCCAGCCCGCTTGACACTGCTACTGAGACAGTGCAGCATAAGTTGGCTGCAGAGAAGGGGCGCCATTTTTCTTTCCACCTATACTTCCTTCCTTCCTTTATTCCTTTCTCTACTTGAAATGAGAAAAATCTAACTCTATCCTTAGTTAAAACACGTTTTATATGTCATGGCAGGAGCTGAGCTAGCCCAGGCTCCCAGGAGAGCAGCCCAATGAGGACCAGTAACTGTGTAATCCCTCCTCCTCCTGCCCTTGCAAGTTGGGTGTGTTTTTACAAAGGGCGTTCCCATCCTTCATTCCATTCAATCCTTGCAACAGTCTTTAGAGGAAGGAAGAGCATGCATTCTATCACAGTCACAGAAGGGAAACTGAGGCTAACAGATGGGAGAGATTGCCCTTGGTCACCCAGGGGAGCCGAGTTTGGGCCCAGATATTCTCTTTTCCAAGCCTGTCCTCTTGTTTCTGTCCGCCATGTTGAACACAGATGTCCCTGCAACTCTCGTCCCCTTCTTACAATCATCACGTGACCCCCAGAGGCCAATTGCAGCACAGGCTCTTCTTTAAATGTCATTTGTCTCTTTGAGAAAAGTGGCAGGAGCTGGTGGAGGTGGGCAGGGACACTCCCTCCCCGATGACTGCTCACCAGTGAAATGAGAGGGTGTGAGAATAGACCCAGGACATTGCATTTAAGAGTTGGAATTAGGGCTTCCCTGGTGGCGCAGTGGTTGAGAGTCCGCCTGCCGATGCAGGGGACACCGGTTCGTGCCCCGGTCCGGGAAGATCCCACATGCCGCGGAGCGGCTGGGCCCGTGAGCCATGGCCGCTGAGCCTGCGCGTCCGGAGCCTGTGCTCCGCAACGGGAGAGGCCACAACAGTGAGAGGCCCGCGTACCGCAAAAAAAAAAAAAAAAGAGTTGGAATTAATTAGCCTGCGAATATGGCCTTCACCTCCCATTTAGATTAAATTTTTGAGTGTAATTGGTAGAACTGGGTGTGTTCTCAGCAATCCCAACTCATTTTACTTAAAGTAGCCCAGTTGATTGATTTGTCTGTCCACCTATCCATCTATCCATCCATCCATTCATCCATTCATCTATTCTTCCTTCTTTGACCATCTTTTTCTTCCCTTCCATCCATACAGCCTCTCTTTTCATTAATCTATCCATCATCCTTCCTTCCTTCCTTCTTTCCATCGATCTTTTTTCGTTTTCATCTATCCATTTATCCACCATCCTTTCAGCCAGCCAGCCAGGCTGAGAGTAAACTGTTATGGGGTTTGGAAAGCCCTGGGTTAATATACAAGACCACTGATTAATCATAAGACCTTGGACGGATTATTTCTCTCTCCAAGTCTGCTCAGCTGTGAAACATATATGAAGATGGTACTAACCTCATAAGGCTGTTGTCGGGAAGATGAGATAATGCTGCAAAGCCCTTAGCACAGTGAGCGGCTATTACATTCTAGACCCTGAGTTGGACACATCACTTTATCCAATGATGTCTTCTTTAGAGAAGCCCTCAGGAGTAGGTGTGGCACTCTGCCCATATTTTAGAGGTGAGAAAACTGGCTCAGACAGGTCATGGAACTTCTGGTCAAAGCTAATTTTGGCCTCCATAATTATCCCATAGTCTTTCCTTTCCTTTTGTGTTTTGTCCTATCCACCTGAGGTGGCCTTCTATCTTGGGCCAGGCTCTTTAATGAAGGTGCCCACAGGCACGGCTGCATGATCTGGACCTCTGGTGACTGACAGCACTTCCCCTCTTTTCTCTTGCAGCCGGCCAAGCTTGCCGAGGCCTTCAAGTACTTCGTGCAGGGCATGGGATACAGTGAGTATGGCCTTTCCTGGCAGGTGGTGGGTTGAAGGGCAGGTGTGGGAACTGGAACCAGGTTGGGATGAGTGCAGTATTCTGTATCACCTTGGCCGGCTTCAGGCTCTTTGCAAACTGGGCAGGTCAGCGAAGAAGTATTTAGGTGTGTGGAGGATGGGCCGCAGGCCAGGGGTTCCCGTGTCTCCTCATACCACAGTGCCTCATTCTCCCTCCATTGTTGAACAGAAGCTGTTTCACACCAGGGAATGTTTTAAGGTTTAGGTGAGGATTATCCCTCTGAGCACAAAGAAGACAACAAACAATAAGACCATGAAGATCTTTTAAAGTTTGATTACATACTTTCTAAGAGACTTGTAGTGATGATGGCGATGCTGGTAAAGTGGCGGTGATGGTGATGGTGGTGGTGGTGGTCGTGGTGATGAAAGATTAATAAATCCTTTATTTTTTTCTTATTTAATCATCACAATAATCCTAGGAGATACTCTTATCCTCATTTACAAATGACGAAACGGAGGCTTTGAGAGATTAAGGAGCAGAGTGGGGATCTGTGAAAGTCCTTTGAAAAGTGTAAAGCTCTGAACAAGTGGGTGATAAAGCCACTTACATTCAAGAGAGCATGTCTTTGCTAAATCATTAGATTTGGGAATTGAAGGATAAATAGAAGCACAATTAACAAACTTGGAGCTTCTTGCGTTATGATTATCGTTTATTTACAGACATTTATTCACAGACACATTTTCAGAAATGCGGTCCCGTGACCAGGACAGGCAACACCAAGTGTAAGCGCACTGCTGGGCAGCAGCCCCCGTTGGTATATGTCGGTGTGTCGGCCACGGTTCCGGCCCCGATGTGGTTCTTTGGGTTCTTTCTGTCTGCGGCCTGGAATTATAATTCACGTGCCCGCCTTCACAAGGAAGTCTGAGCGTCTCATCACTTCCCCCCCTTTTTTTTGTTGAGGCTTAAACTGTGTGCTCATTTAAAATAGTAACGTTATGTTTGGTCAACTGACTGCAATGCAGTCTTAAGGTTGGCCTCAGCCGTGTTTAGTTTCTGGAGTGGCTGAGAGTGGACGAGCCTGATTTACATGCTTCGGACAGGATCCCTGTCCCAGCGTGCCCTCTTCCATCTACTCGTGGGTCTCCTGCCTTTCCAGCCTCTCTCCCTCCGAGAAAATGTGCAGGCAAAGGCAGTAACTGGAGAAGGCCTTCATTTACCTTGCAGCCATGAATTGCAACTCGTTTGTCTTGGACCTGCCCTGGGTTTAGATTTCTGCTTTGAAAGTGCATTCTGGGGAGAAAGGAAGTGAAAGGCAGGCCTTGTTTTCCGCCCCCCCACATAAGCTTCTATTTCCAGAAAGCTGAAGCATCCTGCAGGTCGTAGGGAAAGACAGCAGAGAGAGCTGGAGGCATCAACTAAAGACAAAGTAATCATTCATTTACTGAGTGCCTGCTCAGCAGCGGGCCAGAATGATGAGCCCTCAGCATCCATGACACCATGCTAGGGTCACCAGAGCCCTGCAAGGTCAGTAAGCCCCCAGATCTGGGGTCAAGAAATAGGGCCTCAGAGAGAATATGTGAGCAACAGATACAGGATTGATCCCAATTTTTTTCCAGATTCAGCAACTAGCTCTGTAAGAAGAGGATTCGGTACAGCAAGAATGAATTCTGTCTGTGGGTGTCTGCCACAGAAAGCCAACACCTACGCCCATTGAGTGCATAGTGTAACCCTTACATGCCTTTGTATTTATCAGCTACCACAGTGTGTGATATCCATTATTCAATATGGCCTTGGCAATGATGCTTCGGTCGGGTGGTGTAGTAGTTTCCCAGGGCTGCCATGACAAATCCCCACAAACTGGGTGGCTGAGAACAACAAAAATTTATTGTCTCACAGTGCTACAGTTCTAGAGGCTAGAAGTCCAAACTCAAGATGTGGGCAGGGTCATGCTCCCTCCAAAGATTCTAAGAAGAATCCTTCCTTGCCTTGTCCCAGCTTCTGGTGGTTGCCAGCAGTCCTTGGCTTGTAGCTGCATCACTCTGACCTCTGCCCTGTCTTCACATGGCTTCTCCCCGTGTGCACCTGTGTCTCCTCCTCTTAAGAGGAAACCAGCCGTGGCATCAGAGTTCACCCCAACCCAGGGTGACCTCATCGTATCTAAATAGATCTGAAAAGACCTTATTTCCAAAGAAGGTTACAGTCTGAGGTGCCGGTGGACGTGAGTTTGGGGGGATGCCATTCCACCCAGTACAGGCGGGGCGATTTTTTGTCTTCATTCCACCTTGTAAGCCACCTGCTGTGTTCAAGGGCATTTTAAATCCTTTGGAATGGACAGTGCCCTTGATAGTACCTGGGAGCTCGCAGGTTTCCTGAAGGGAGAGACGACAGCTGACCTCTCTGTGTGGCCTTGGTTTCCAGCCTGTGGCGTGCAGGGATTAGCCTGGCCAACCTTGAACGTCCTCCCCGCTCTGGTAATTGTTGGCCTTACAGGGTGGTGGACACACACCCCAGCGCTGCTACCAGGGCGTCAGTGGTAGTATTCCCATTTTATAGGGGGGGCCGAGGGCTCAGAGAGGGACACTCCCAAAGCCCCAGAGCTGGGATTCAAGCAGCAGGTAGCAGACAGAGCTGGGATTCAGACGAGCTGTGGGTTCACGCCGCTGTGGGATCGCAGCAAGTCCTTACTCCACCTGGGTCTTGCGCTCCACCTGTGTGGGCAGAGACAGAAACGATGCGGAGCCCAGCAGCCGGATGGCTGCGAGGATGGACAGGAGCAAAGGTGCCCAGGCAGGTGGGGCGCACAGCAGGCAGCATCCCCGGTGTGCAGGTGCTTCCAGCGTTGGCCCATCCCCTCACGGGTCTCTCTCTTCTCTCGCAGTGCCCTCCGCCAGCATGACGCGCCTGATGAGGTCCCGCACAGCCTCGGGCTCCAGCGTCACGTCCCTGGAGGGCGCCCGCAGCCGCTCCCACACCAGCGAGGGCGCCCGGCTGGACATCGTCCCCAACTCCGGTGGCCCCGGGAGCAGCGCAGGGCCCAACTCCACGGAGGTGTCCTGCTAGGTGGCCTTGGGGACGGCCGCCCCTGGACTCTGGGATCAATCGCTGTAGCTGCCCCTCCTCCAGCCCCTCCCCGCCCCTGCCTGCCAACCACATGTAGCTCGGTATTAATCCAAAGCTTATTTTGTACGAGTGAGCTCTGGTGAGGACAAAGTGAGATTGGGTTTGTGGAGGGCTCCCCTTCCGGCGAGGGCGGGGTGGAGTGGACCAAAGGGAAAGAAGCATCTCAGTGTCCTGTTTCCACTAGCGAGCGGCCTAGAGGCCACTGTCTTCCCCTCCCTCAGAGACACCAAACTGCCAAAAACAAGAAACAGAGCAAACACTTGATCAATCCAAGGCTAGGCTGACCTGAGCATCCTGGCGCGAAGGGACGTTTTGTTGGAAGCCCAGCCCACCTACTTCCTGTTTCCTTTCCAACTAAAGAAAAAACAGACCCAGTTTCTGGAAACCAAACCCCTTCTGATTTGGAGAGGGGGAGAGGGGGGAATGGTGGCGAGCTCTTTTAACAAAGCCAAACAGGAAGCGGGGAAAGAGGTGGAATTTATGCAGAGGCTCCGAAGTGTTTGGAAGAGCAAATCTCTGTCGTGAACTTGAAGAAGTAGATTTTTAACGTCGGTGCATATATACACTTTTCAGTGCCGATGCCAGAAGCCTGTTTTTCTGGCATTTTTTTAATGGACAACAGAAGCAGGTGACAAAATCTCCCAGTTTTTCAAAGAGACGGTCTTGGCAAACGTTTGGTATCGGGGGTTTGAGGCTTTGATTCTGCTGCCTGCCTCTTCCTCCACGTCGCCTACTTCCTACCCCAGATACATGGACGAGTGATTATTTCATTCATGGGGAAGATCATGTAGATTTGTAGCTGCTTCTTTGAAATGGAGGGCCGTGCCTGGCTGTGATGCGTCTCCATGCAGCGGCCGGGGGAGGGGGGCAGGGGCATTGAGGTGGGCTGGTATTTTTGGTTATTAGATGTAAAGGATTCCTCGTGGTTGTGATGGAGTCCAGCGCAGTTGTGATTTCAGTTGATCCCATCTGGTTCCCAGGAACCATGTGTGATTGAGTTAAATCTAGCTTCCAATCTTGGACAACCCGGGTTGAATCTGAACTTGATTGCCAAACATTTCTGACCTGGTGACCTTCCGGGATCTTCAGATAGAACTGTTCGCTCTTGTAGGGGGTGGGGATTCCCTTGGGGAGTGGTGGCCCAGAAGATGCAAGGATTCTGGAATGTGTATTCCATGGGATTTCCTTCCCTCTCCTGCCTTCCCCTCTACCCTGCCCCTCTAACCTCTCGCTGAACGGGGTGGCACCACTGACATTTCTGGGCAACGTCAGCGTAGCTGTCAAGTTCCTGTACTACTTACTGCCTTTTGATTTTTATTTTGGCTAACCGTGGATCTTCTTATAGGAAGTTTGATCAGAGTGAAAGGAACATTGTGACTCAGCCGCCGGGGCCTGGTGGTTACTGGGAGGAATAGTCAAGCCTTCTAGGTAGCTTGGGGGAATAATGACTCAATTTATCTGCGACCTAGCCCCTGGGAGGCAGAAATGGCTGAATCAGAACGAGAAACTGTTGTGTACAAGTCTTTCCAGAGGAGTTTCTTAATGAGATATTTGTATTTATTTCCAGACCAATAAATTTGTAACTTTGCAGTGGCTTGTGTCTTTTTCCTCCGCCTGAGAGATCGTGCATTGGGATGGGTCTTTCCTTACCTGGGGCTTCCTACCACATCCCCCTCACCTTTGGAATTCTTTGCTTTACAGCATCCCTGTCCAGTAAAAATATAATACGAACCACAGCTGTAACTTCAAATTTTCAAGTAGCCACATTAAAAAAGGTAGAGACAAGTGAAATTAACTTTAATAATTTAACCCAACATATCCAAAATATTATCACTTCAACATAGGATCAATGTAATTATTAAGGTATCATGCATTCTTTTCTGCCTACTAAGAAATCCAGGGCGTGTTTTACATCACAGCACATCTCAATTCAGACCAGCCCCGTTTCAACGCTCAATAGCTTGAATAATGCAGTGACAAGGGATCAAGGTTTTCAACCTGTAATTAGAAGGAAACATCTTTTTTCACATTTTATTTTTATTATAGAAAAGCATGTGGAAAGACCACCCAGTGACAATCCCTGTAATGCTTCTGGCCCTTGTATTTTTTAAAAAAATGTAGACACAACAGGTTTCAGTACCACCTCCCATTTCTATTTAAAATTAGTTTAAAATTTACAAAACAGTTGCAAAGATAGTACAGAGAGTTTCCATATACCCCACCTCCAGTTTCCCCTATTATTATTATCATCTTATGTTACTACAGTGCATTGGTCACAGCTAAGAAATCAACATTGATAGATTACTATTAACTAAGCTCCATACTTTCTTGGGATTTCACTAGTTTTTCCCTGTTGTCCTTTTTCTGTCCCAGGATCCCGTCCAGATACCAGGTTACATTTCGTCATCATGCCTGCTTTGCTTCCTCTGGCCTGTAAGAGACTCTCAGACTATCCTTGCTTTTGATGACCTTGACGGTTTTGAGAAGCCCTGGTGGGACATTTTGTAGAATGGCCTTCAATCGAGGTTTGCGTATATGGTTTTCTCATGGTTCAGTTGGGGTTCTGAGTTTTTGGAATGAAGACCCCGGAGGCTCAGTGCCATTCTCATCACCTCGTGCCGTCAGCATGATGGGCCAACGTGATTTAACACGGATGAGGTTGACTTTGATCGCCTGGCTGCGGTCGTGTTTGCCAGGTGTCTCAACTGTTAAGTTACATTTTCTGCTTTTCCATACTTGTTCTTTTGTTTTGTTTTGTTTTGTTTTGCTTTTGCGGTACGCGGGCTTCTCACTGCTGTGGCCTCTCCCGCTGCGGAGCACAGGCTCCGGACGCGCAGGCTCAGCGGCCATGGCTCACGGGCCCAGCCGCTCCGGGCATGTGGAATCCTCCCGGACCGGGGCACGAACCCACGTCCCCTGCATCGGCAGGCGGACTCCCAACCACTGCGCCACCAGGGAAGCCCCATACTTGTTCTTTGGAAGCAAGTCCCTAAATGCAGCCCACACTTAACACCCCCCTCCTTTTTAAACAACCATCTTACTGTTTATTATATTGGCTTTTTCTTCACGTACCCTGAAGAGTTTCTTAGCATAATTAGCTGTAAACGCTGTTGCAGCCTGCATCATCATGCAGCAAGTGCCTGGGCAGGGAAGGAGGAGGTGACCGTGTGTGGTGTGCACGTCAGGAAGGGTTTTAACGCATGAAATACAGCACATAACAGTGCAAAAGAAACCACTGATGGTGAAGTGTAATTCTCCAAATGTTCCGATTGTGTGACGTTTCTTTATTGAATAGTGATGTGGAGGCAGGTCTCAATATAATTTCAAGGTAGTGATGAGCATAACAGCAGTTCGAGAAAACTGCCACAACTGTGGTAAGAAAAATACATGTGATTTCAACTGGTGACATTAGGGTTTGTGGCCCACAATGCCACACTGCAATTAGAGATTAGTAAAAACAAAGATTCATTTCCCCCCTATCCAAGCACACGACCCCTGAATTTAATCCATGGATCCCTGGTCCAAGGACCCGAGGTTAAGGAGCCCTGCTTTAGATGCAGGAGGAGAAGCGTGTAGGCTCATCCTTATTCTACATTCACAATAAGGGCCTTTTCTGTGACGGATCCTGTGTGAGAGTCAGGAGCAAAGGAAAGGCAGGCATAGAAGAGCCAGCAAGGAATCACCATGGCAGTGGGTGCATATGTGGCACAGAGACCCCCTGGACCTGCCACGATCAGCTCCTTGGAGCTCAGGCTTCCATCGAGAGAAATGAACTGTTGCAGGTGTTTGCATGTGTCAGACGCTATTTAGAGATGGTTTGCCCAGAGGCTGTTTTGCCAGCTGGGGATCTATTTCTGTTTTCCTAGCTGCTTATTTTGGTTTCGATCCCCAGACCCCTGGGTGTCAGCAGCAGCTGGGAGACCAAGTGTGCACCAAGACCAACCACGTGCAGGCTCTATAGGGGCAACTGAGGCCCATCAGCCACCTTCCTCATTCCGCTTCTCAGACACCACCTCACTATTGGTCACTGGATGGGTCCCTAGATATAGCCTAAATCCATCTTGGGCTTCTCAGGCTGCATGGAAACCCTTCAACTGTGTTCCACATGGAATCCAAGGGCAGAGGGGAAGCCTGGCCTTATGGGTTTGGAGATGGGTTAGGGAGGGGGCCTAGTGAGCAGATGAGCCTCCTTCTTTCTAAGAACAGATTTCCCTGCATCTCTAAAGCATAAACCGGTGGGATCCTTGACCTTCTGGTTCTTGGACCTGGAACTAAACGGGTCTTTGTGTCTTTCAAGGGTAAGAATTGAACGGGACCAGCTTGATTCAAGTGTCCAGCCGCTGTCCAATCAACTATGAGCGTAAGAGCATCTCGAGGTAACTGTCACCATTGTGATAATATATGTGATTTCAACTGGTGACGTTAGGGTTTGTGGCCCACCTTTAGGTCAGACAGGCGCTACATTGCAATCAGAGGTTAGTTCACAGTACTCCCGTCCCCTCCCTCACATACACACGGCAGGATTCCGAGTAGTTGATGTAGCTGTAGCCAGTGAATTGCTACGTGCTTTGCCATTAAACCCACTGACAGCCAAACTCACTGTTGCAGGAAAGGCCCTTCCTCATTCCTGCTCCGAGAAATTTCCTGAACACCCCGCCCTCCCCAGGAAGCACTGACCATATGACCTCGTGACAAGGGCACCCTGCAGAGAATGCATCACTAATAATAGTAATATGTAGCGTTTATTATAGTTTCTTTTCCCTTTTTGTCTTTATCTGCTTCACAGATAAGAAAGCCAAGGCTCACAGAGACGAAGTGGCTTGTGCAACCATTTCTAAAATGGATTACGTCCCTCTTGTCTGGAAAACAGTTGGCTGAGAACATGACTAATGCAGCCACCTATTGACATCTTGGGACTGTAGAACATTGGTTAGTTCCTGGGACTAATAAACTAGAGGACCTTGCGGCTTTTACTGCCCGTGGGGACATTTGTCCCTCCATTAAGTAGTCCCACCCAGGCAGTGACCAGCCTTTACCGTATCTTTCATCTGGTTCTTAATTCTTCTGTCTCCTCCTTCACTGGCAGGCTGACATTTTTCTCATGGCCATCAATAAGCCAGGTTTAGCAGCTTCCTTTTCCTCTTTATGGGATGGACTAAGAAACCCACTTTCGCTAGTGGTGCGTGAAAAGTAAGATTTAGCATGGAGATCTGGAAACATTCTTTACCACATATAATATACGAAACCATACCTGGGTTTGGTGCCAGGCTTTTCATCTCCTTAGAAGTCATTTTTGCTCAGTTCTACATTGGAAAGAACCCAGGTTCAGCTGGAACTGGGACCTCTGAATATATAGGATGCTTCTGCATCTTCATTTCATCGGTAGAGGGTGAGAGACAACAGTGCCTTCTCTGCTATATGCTTTTTAACCTTCATAATAAAATGCTCTGGCCATTTTCCCTGAATCCCATTTTCCCAAAACTTCGTCCACCTGATATCATCTGAAATCTTTCCCAGAGTCCACACATGCATCTTAATTGGAGGCATCCATTGGACTCCACGATCTGAATTCCAATTTTGAAAAAAGTATGTTTCAGGATAGAAGTGTACTTGGAAATGATTCATGGGGCAATTATTTTTGTACTGGAATGGATTCTCCCCTAGACTTTATTATAATAACATAACGTGTTTTGGGTTGATGAGGGGGATTTAGCTGGAAGGTATCAAGTGCATCATTCACTTCATTTACTCAGCCATCTGCACATCTGTTCAAAGAGCTGAGCATGTGCTATGCACAGCACTGGGTTTGGGAGACACAGAAAAGTATGGCACCCTTCCTGCCTTCAAGAAGCTGGGGGCTTAATCAAATTACAGCATAAAATGAAAACATAAAAATAAAAAGTTAAGGGATCGAGAAGCATAGGATGGAAATATTAAAGCATTCAACTGAATATCGGTGACATGTTTCCTTTACCTTTGCGATAGGACTAAAAATATGCAGACACAAACACTGACTTCAATTCTTACCATCGCCTTGCGGGTTATTCCCAGTTCATAAGGAAACCGACTCAGCTAAATAATAGATGCGTTTGTTAAGTGCTTACCACGTACCAAGCGCTATTCTAAAGCTCTCCGTGCATTTTGGTTATCACATCATCACCCCCACAAGGAAGGTACTGTCATATTTTGCATTTCACAGCTGAGGACGCTGAAGCACAGATCGGTTAAGTGAGAAATTCCAGTAAAGAACAAAAGATAGAAAGATCCACCGGCCTCCCGAAGTCAGAACTGGTCCCATTGCTTCCTGCAACCCTCCTTATACTTCATTTCACTCCCCTTGGTTCCCAAGGCAGCTGGCAATGGATCTCTATCCACCCATCCCTCCATCCATCCAACCCCTGCTACCCAGTCCCTGACACATACAAGGCTCAGAGGATGCAGTCATGGTCTCTGACCTCCAGGTACCCACAGGGCAGTTGGGGATATAAAAAGGCATGGAATAAATGAGTAAGTGAATGAATGCCAAATGTTCATTTTATATTTACATGAGATGTCTTCCGGCCTGGACACATTTGTACCCCTGGTGTTTTCTACATGCCAGAATTCATATTTCTCAGTGCATTTCCAAACTTTTAGCTATTTTTATTGTCATGTATAAAATATCTGGGGCCTAATTTCCACCATCTGCACATTTACTGAATGTGTTCAATGTTCCATCATTGCCTCATAATAACTGAATATACAAGAAAATTCACCCAATCCAGTAAGTCACTTTGCTGATAATATATTGCTTTAAGGCGAAAAGCTATAAACAGGGAATTTGAGCAATGAAAACCCTTCACATTAAATAAACACGTTCCGTGCTACACAAATCATGAGAAAAATGCGGACTGTTGTAAAACATGAGAGATTGCCCAAGTGCTACTTTTCCTCTATTGGGAAATTCCAAGACATTTCTTCATATGTATTTTGTAGTCACCAAAATGGCAGTAGGAATACTTAAATATTAAGTCATAGTCTGAAAACAGATACACACACACACACACATATATAAATATTTACACATACATACAACACGTATGTATATGTGCAGAAATACACAGCTGGCCATTCTGACCATCCATGATTCCCAGCTGTGCAGGGTTATCATTGCAGTTACTTTGGATCAAGGTAAGCCTTTAAAAATCAGTGACCTAATTCAGTATAATAGTCACAGGCTACATTACCTCCCCACAATCTCTAGGTATACACAGTACTTACAATGTCAATGAGAGTCTAGACAATCATATCACTTGAATCTACCTTCTTTGATCACTCTCTGAATCACTTTCAAAGTGAAAATTGCAGCTCTTGTCAGTAAAGCACGTCTTGTGCCTTTTGATTCGGACGTCAGACTAACCTTGGTTTGCAATCCTGGTCTGTAATTCATTAGCTGGTAAGACATTGAGCAAATAACTTAACCTCTAATAGCCTCAGCTATCTTATTTCTAAAATGGGTAAATGATAATAATGCCACATCTCATAGGTTTGCTCTGAGGATTAAATAAGACACTGCAGTAAAGGAGCCAGTATAAGGCCTGGTAAGTGCTCAACAGATGCTAATAAGGTTTAGCAAGCATCGGTGGTTCAGTAAATTCAGGTCTCCTCTTTCCCCTGCACACACACGAGATGTTCACTCCAAGCACCTACATAAATTTCTTCACCAAAAGTTGACAAATCTTTAGCATACCTTTCCTTTTCCCCCAGAACATGGGGTCACAAGGGACTAGAGTGGCAAGCTTCCTGCTCTGAGCCCCCCGCCTACGTGACACTCCGATAGGGCTCATTCAGGCTCTCCCTGGAGGCCTCCCCAAGAGCAAGGAAGAGTGGAATAAGCTGGGATTTGGGTTGCTACTTTGGGGGGCAGATTTCCCAGCCTCTTTGAGTCCCAGACTTTCCATTTATAAAACGGGCAAGAGAGGCTTACTCAAAATCGCTGTGATGATTGGTACTATAATTCAACTTAAGAGCGCTTGGTACCAAGCAAGCACTCTAAATAAAGGGACAGCTTTTCGTTAGGGTTATTACTCTTAACTTTTACCGACTCAGGGCACACCACGGCTGGGCCCATAGCTCCTTCCCCATGACTTCAAAACACGGGGCTGAGACGTTCCCTCTGGGGCCTGCATAGGACAGATCCACTTCTCAAACCGGAGCATTCCGGCCACGCCATCCCACCCATTCCCAGGATAAAACCCCCAATTCCACCAACCAGGCTTCCTAGGATCTTGGAAGCCATGCTCACTTGCCCAAACTGGGAAGCAAATTCAGTAAGAACCTAGCTCTCGGGTGTCTGCTGAATTTCAAATGGGGTCAGCGTTCATCTAGTCCTTGTAGCTTGTAGGTGGCAGGTGACTGTACGAAAATCCAACATGTTCCATGTAGACTTGAGAAGAGATTATTCATGGGGTAAATTCTCTTCACACAGGAATTCTTCTTTTGTTTTGTTTTTTTTTCCAAAAAAAATGTACACTTCTTTCAATAGTAAATGTCTTTCTATGGCATTTAAGACTTGGCTGATAAAAATCGGATTGTCATGTACCTTTGGAAGAAAGAGATCTTCTGAATACAAGTAGGAACATGTACACAATTTCCTTTATTCATCAAATACACATTGAGCGCCACTGTATGCCTTGCATCGGGCATTCCGGAGGCCACCGTTAAGGAGGGCACATTCTCAACCCTTCTTCCCCGTCTAGGAATCCCACCCACAATTCGCCACCCAGAATTCCCTCAGGAATAACCGCCCCGTCACTCAGTCTGCAGCACTGGGTAACAAAATCATCTTCAAACACATATGAGAGCTGGTTCAGATTTGAAGGAGGGAACGATCTGTAGGGGAGTCATGGATTTTGGTTTAGCCCAGATTTTGTTTGACGCTTAGGCACGTAAATAATCTGAAAGTCAGACACTCTCTTCTCTTGTGAAAAGAGCTAGAGAGACAAGAATAAGAAGCAAAAATGATGCAAGAATCGCCTGTCCTGACATGTTTTCCTGCTCTGACACATTTGGAAGCTCTAAAAGTAGAGGGAAAAGATGGGTTATAGAGTCACTTCAACTTGGATTTGCATTCCGACTCCTCCACTGGCCATCTGGGTGACTTCAGTCAAGCTCCCTTCCCTTTCTGAGCTTCTGTTTCACATTTGTAAGAACAGAAATAGTAACGGGCGCTTTTCAACACGGCCTCGAAGTTTCCATGAGCTAGTGTTAACGGTTACGTACAGCACTGAGAACAATGTCTGACACACAGAAGGTACTATATAAAAGAATTATAGCAGTAAATATTTATAGTTTACTAATAAAATAAATAATAGCCTCATTTCCATTAATAGCAACTTTCTCTTCCTTTTGTTGAATAGCTTCAAGCCCTTTCAGCTTTTCATCCCTGTTAAATATACTTGTTTTGAAACAACTGGTTAACCTCTGTCTTTGTACCAGAACTGGGTTTTATGGGTCAGTAGACCCCCAGTCTGTGAAATGGGTCACTGAGGCAGAAAGAGGCATGTCCTGGGCCCAGGGACCCTTGCCACCCTAGGCTGATGCAGACTGGACCCACTTCTTGGTTTCTGAAACCACTTCTTGGTTTGACCCACACTCACGCTGGACCCAAGGCTCCCTAAGAGCACAGGAATGTCACAGGGCACCATTCTCAGGGGTCAGAGACATCACCCCAGGGGACTCCAACAACTCCCATGAGCCCCCGTGCAGGGAGAGGACCCAGCAGTGAGGAGCCTGGCCGATTGCCCAGCGCCCTGCCCTGTCCACGAGCAGCAGATTCAGTGCTGGGGTCAATCGCTCCTTCTGACAGTTGGCGGACCTTGCTCTGACCCTGGAGTATTGACTGGGGACTTCTCCCAGGAACAAGAAGGAAGTTTATCATCTTGCATTTCTGACAGGGATGAACCCAATGTACACCCTTCACAGGGCAGGGGTGAAGAGAAACCTGACCTCAACAATGCCCGGAATAATGGATACAATTGTTCATTAAAAAAACCAAACCCAAACAGCAATTCACCTCACTTGGCAAATGCTGGGTGACCTTGGGAGGCACAAATCTTTGGAATGAGAGATACTTTGGTGTGCGGTGGTCACAACTGTCGATCGGAGTAGTTCTAAATCCCATCTATCCTTCTGAATGGACCCAGAGAGTCTTACGATTTGGTATTTAAAGAAGGAATTAGTGACACTGAATGCCTAGCTGATTCTGTTCCTTGAGACTTGGGCAAGATCCAGCAAGACGTCCAGTGACTTGGACAGGCCGGATCAGCCTTGGGTATTGACCAGAACGGCTGGAGACAGGCACTTTCCTTGGAGTGTACGTGGAATTGTCAAGGAGAGGACCCATTGTCTGGGCTTGAGCGGCACCACGATGGGTGCTTTGGGTGGTCGGAGACAGGAAAGGGGGCCACGGGTCCGGATCAGGGTAAGGTGGACAAAAGAAGGCTCAGTGTGGGCCTCAGAAGGCTGCCTGCTTTACAAGCATGGGGCCAGGCCTCGAGCTCGTGTTTTGTGCCTGCCTAATTGGCAATTTCTGAGAAGTCAGGGTAGGAATCCAAGTCGGCAAAAATATCGTTGGGATTCCGACAGCTCAGGTTGCAGAAGCAAGCATTAATCCACAGGGCCTGGCGGGAGAAGCCAGGCCCGTCAGGACACTGGAAGGAGATGTCGATGGTTTTGGACTTGTAGGGGATGCAGCACCTGTTGTCTGTGCAGACCCCACAGTACTTGGGCCGGTACGAACGTGTGCTGGTGCAGCCGGCCAGTGTAAAGTTCACGGGCGCTTCTGGCTGGTACACGGCCAGACACTTCTTCCCTTCCTGCAGGAAAGGAGGTTTCAGTTGAGATGCTCAGAGGATCAACAGCCACTTTCTTCCCTCCAAGCCCTCAATTCTTCCCTTTTCACTCTCCACACCTCACTTTCAGATTTGCGGCATCTTCCAACTGGGAAGGACCACCCCAGTCATATTACGCAGGAGGAAACAAGACACAGGAGGGGGCTGCCTTGCGGTGGTGGTACCTCTCAGCCTGCAATTTCCTTTCTCTCCTGTGTTCCTGCCTTGCCAATGCCCAGTCCCTGGTCAGTTTCACTAAAACGGAATGCCTTTGCGGCCACTTTAGCCAATCAAGTACCCCTCGCTGGTTAGGGGCAGAACCATCATGGCCTCCCTGATTGGGGGATGCATTTTACCCTAAACTCTCCTCCTCCTCTGCCTCTGACAGACTCTCCCACACACCCTTTCCATGCAATGTATTCATTCACAATCCATGCAACTGGATTGCCATTATCTAAAGGGAGCTCTGTCTCTCCACAGGGCTGTGGGCCACTCGAGAGTGGGGCTTTCTGTGTCCCTGCAGTCTAATTCTGTGCCTGGTGCATAGTAGGCACTTACTAAACTCACTGAATGAATGGTTCTCGGGGTCTACTATGTACCGGCACCATGCCAGAAACGGGGGTAGAGCAGATCCAGGCGATGTGGGGTGGGTCTGAGGCTTGTATGGTTGATCTGAGAGCTCTCTTAGGCACATAATTATGGAAATGAACTTGGGTGGAAAGCATGAGGCAACAGCAAGGGACGTGAATTCGTTTGGTGGTAAGCCCACCCCTACTTCGCATGCACCGTGCATTCACCCAGCTTAGGATGCTCTGTCCTGTTGCTGGTAAATTTCCCTCCCATGCTTTCGGTTAAGAGATGTTTGCTGAGTACCAAGCACCAAGAATACAAAGGCTAGTAGGGCAGGGGACATTAATCAGAGAGGGAAAAGAGACAAGGGGAGGAACTGTGGGAAGCTAGGCTGTCTTGTCTGCTGGACAACCCTCTCCTCAGCATCCCCAAGAAACCACCAATGATCCCCAAGAGGAATCAGTGCTGAGTTTTTCTTTCTCTTTATTTTTCACGTGACACCAAGGCAGATGACCAGTCCTAAGGCGTTAGCAAGGAGGTCCTGGGTTAAGCAAATCAGATCCGTTTCTAACTCCAAGGACTGGGTCTTAGCCTCCTGTGGCCACTACACCCTTGATCCTTTATTTTAATTATCTGTGACTCTCAAAGCTGGAAGGGATGTCCGAGATCAATTCTGGTGTTTTACCAATGAAGGGACTGGGGCTCAGAGATGCAAGGAGATTGGCCATGGTCACACAGAGTCAGCAGCAGATGGGCATTTGACTCCAGCAGTCCCGAGTCCCGTTGTCCCCTACCGCCCCGTGTGGCTGTCACGTGAGTGGGGGCTGGCCCAGGAGCAGTCGGTGAGGGGTCTTTGGAATCACCACAGGAGAGCACTTCTGAGGGACCCTGGGATCTCTCCAGAGTCACCTTGATTGTAATAACATGGTCACCACTTCCACTGAGTGAAATTCACAACCCAGTGACACATGTTATCCCAAGAAACTGCTACAACGTGGGCTTAATTATTATACAAACGGACCCCCCACAAGCAAGCTCAGGAGCCGGGCTCAAAGCCAGGCTTGTCTGTTACGCCCGAGACACCTGCCCCACCCTGGGAGGCGGACCCACCTTGACGTGTGGCCAGAGGTCCACGTCACAGGGCCGCAGGTTGCAGAGGCGACTCTCCTGCTCAGGCCAGCACCGGGCATTGACGTTGGAGATGCGGGTGGAGACCCCCAGGCCGCAGCTGGCAGAGCAGGGGCTCCAGGGGCTGCTGTAGGCTATGCAGTTCCTGTGCCACGGCTCTATCTCATCCATGGCTGCTGCGGATGGGAACCAGATGCCCTGTGAGTTTCCAGTCTCTGTCAGCCCCCAATTCCTGTCGCCACCGCCCTAAGGGCTGGGGTCCCTGAACCTCAGGCAGGACAGAGGTGGGCTGTCCCTCAGCGCAAGAGGGCAAGTTGGCTTCTAACCAGCAGTTTCCCAGGGAGAGGAGGGCTGTTCTCAGCTCCTTACACCTCTCCGGAGGGAGGACCATCTTTAGAGACAGGTGGACCTAAGTTCAATTCCTGCTTGAGCACCTAGAGGCTGTGTCCCTCTGGGCCTCAGGCTCTTCACTAGAATAATCACATCTGCCCTGCAGGGCTAGTACGGCAATAAAAGGGTCCAGATACTGACTGAGTACCCATCAGGCATCTGCAAGGGGCTGGGAATAAAAGGTTAAAAGACACTGTTCCTGCCCCTGCAGAGATTACGTTATGTGGGGAAGGTCAAAGGGAAGTGCCTGCACTGTAGTACTAGTATTTCATCTGGGCGATGCTGCGGGCATCGTGGTTAAGGGGACACACAGGTTTCAGAGGCAAATGGCCTGGTTTCAGCTCTGAGCACCACCACTTAGTAGCTGGATAGCTTCCAATAAACTAGCTCCCACCTCCGTGTCCCCACCTGTAAGAGGGGTTGACAGTAGCACCTCTCTCCCTCCTTCCCAGGCTGGGGACAGAAAAGATGGGTTCAGACACGTGACAGCGCTCAAGCTGTCCCTGGCCCTTAGTAAGCCCTCAGTAAAGGTGAACTGAACCCCAACTCTTGGCTGGTTCTATCAACGCGTGTATCCTGGCATGCAGAACATGGAAAATGGAGTGAGCTAGAGATGGAGGCAGGTAAAAAGCCAGGAAGACCAAGGAGAGATCTCACAGAGAGATAGACCAAGATACCCGAGAGAAAGACTGGAAGAGGAAGCCAGTCCAACCTGGCACACACACGCATGGCAACCAGAGAGAGGAACGGGAAGGGACAGCAGGTGTGCAGGGGAGATGGGTGAATGAACGCAGGAATAAATGAGTAAGAGAAGAGGACGGACAAGACAGAAGAAAGGAAAAAGAGGCTTCTGAGGACAGAAGAGAGGAGGGTCCGGGCTGGGATGAGCTGGGGCTGCGAGCACGGATGGAGAGGGCAGTGGGGAGGGATTTGCTTGGAAGGATGAAAGGGCTTTGGTTTCTGGGTCAGCCACTCGGCAGGGGCTCTGCTTGTGCTCGGTCAGAACGGGGTCACTGGGCCACACACAATGACATGATGGGCAGACAGCCGCTGCCCTGCACCCTCACCCCGTGACCCTCCTGTGCTCTGCCCTGGGAGGCCTGCTGGGGACAGAACTTCCCCGGCCACCTCCTCCATGGGCAGGGGATTGCTGCTTCAGGGGGCTGCTCAGCCCCGGGTGGGGCACCCCAGGCCCCATCCAGAGAGGCTGTGCATCCCTGAACTGTAGGGGTGGCAGTACCACCCTCCTTCCTGGTCCAGTCAGACCCCTGGGGGCAGGCAGCCTGGGGACAGGTCTCTATTCTGGCCTTTACACTCCTCCCTCCCCTCCCCTCCCTTCTCCTCCCCTCTCCTGTCCAGTTTGTTCTCTGAAATCCTCCCTCACTTGGCTTCTGAAACCCTCTTCTCCTGTATCCGTCCTGCCTCTTGGATTCGTCTTCCTCAGCTTCATTCTCTCTCGCACCTTACATGGTGGTGTCTCAGGGCCACATCAGTGGTCCTCCATCGAGGCGATTTTGCCCCCCAGGTCACAACTAGCAATGTCTGGAGGTATTTTTGGTTGTCGCTACTTGGCTGGAAGGTGCTACTGGCACGTAGTAGGTGGGGGCCAGGTGTAAACCTCCTCCTACAAAGCCCAGGACTGTCCCCTCTATAAAGAATGATCCTGTCCAAAATGAGGTCAGAACTGAGGTCGAGAAACCCTGCTCTACGCAATCTCTCTGAGCACTTCTCTCTGAGCACAATCTCTCACGCACTTATAACTTTAAAAAAACAACCAGTACCCTCAGAACGCCCAAACTCCATTGCCATTTCTTCACTCCCTCACGTCCACCTGCCTGGTGGACACTTCCTTCTAGAAGTATCCTCATCTGCTGTCTCCCACGTCATCAGACGTTCCTGGTTTTCCCATTACATGCTTGGCTCTCCTTCTCTGTCTCCCCCTCGGTCTCCTCTTCTGTCCTCCCTCAAACATCAGCCCCCCAGACCTCTGCCCCAGGCCCCCCCAACACGTTACCCCTAGGCCCTCAGCAGCTCTGGGCCGGAGACTTCCGGAGCTCTCTCTCCGCCCCACCTCCCTCCTCCAGTGCTTTCCCCGCAGGATGCTCCTCTGGGTGATCTCATGGGCAGGGCACCCAGCCTCAGCCTCTGCCTGTCTCCAGCAAGGGCGCTCTCCTCCCCAGAAGTACTCCCTGCTTTCTGTCCTAAGTAATGACGAGCCCCGGGAGTCTCTGTTACCCCTCTCTCTCCTTCCCCCCACCCGTTGTATTGACGCCGAGCCCTTCAGTCTTACTTGTTCAATTGCTCTTGCATCTGTCCCTTCCTTGATACCTCTGCTCCCACTGCCCCAATTCAGGTCTCCTCGGCCCACATATCCATCCATGCATCCCTCCATCCATTCATCCATCCATATGACAAACACTGATTTGGTACCAGCTAAGTGTCTGGCATTGGCTAGGCTCATGTAAGCTGTGGGTGAAACAAACAGGTCTGTCCCTGTCCTCTGTTTCCGGAGCTTCCTCTGGCCTGGCCTACCTGGCTGAAGTCTCACCTGTCCATCCATCCCCCAGAGTGAGCGGGAAGCCATCCACTCCCTCTCTGCCCTTCCACCTGCTGCTCAAGCCTCTCCTCCCGGGGTACCCTCACACCGGTCCTTCCTCAGCCTCCACCCCTCCCCTCCTAAACTCTTTAGTAGGAGAATAAGGAACCGCAGGCCTCTGCTTCCTTCTTTACAAAGCACTTCCTCCTTTTACGCATGAAGGATCCCATAAGACAGGTGGACAGGTGGTCTTATTTCCATTTTACCAGTGGAGAAATAGGGTCCCGGAGGAAATGTGACTTTCCCAAGGTCACACCTCTCCTGAGTGGTGGACTGGGGACTGGGATCCGGGGGCTCCTGTCAGTCACAGGTGGGCAGTCAGAGCTTCGGGAGTGTCCGCCCCCACACCCCGGTACCCCAGGGCCTGCCCTCCCCCCCGCGCCCTGCGCCCCGCGCGCAGCACCCACCGAAGGCGCCCGTGTGGCGCGGCGCGGTCTTGCGTGGCCTCCTGGCGTCGTCGTCGCACACCCACTGCTCGCAGCAGCGCCCGGGCACGCTCACCCGCCGGGCGTGGCGGCACCAGACGCGCGGGGGGCGTGCGCGGAGGCAGAGCGGCGTGCAGCCCACCGCGCCGCCCACGCACGTGCAGTTGTACTTGCAGTTGGGCTGGAAGGACTGGCCGTTGTTGTAGCGCACGCCGTCCAGCACGCAGCCCACGCCGACCACCTCTGCGGACACAGGCGCCGAGGGTCAGGCAGGTGGGCTCCGGCGTCCCCCGCAGGGCAGCCCCGCCCCCGCTGGACCACGCCCCCCCACGTTCACGTCGTAGGGGAGGGGCGAAGGCAGAGCAGTGAGAAGCCGCTGGGCCCAGCCGGCGGCGTGGGGGGAGTTCGGTGGCACCTGAGCAGAGGCAGCGCCAGTTCATTTAACCCGCGGAGAAATAACGCAGTGCCACCCTGGAGCGGGGTGGGAGGCCGGGACGGGGAGCCAGGTGGCTAGCCCCTGGTCCTGTCCCATCAAGTGGCACAAAACCTGGTCCTGACAATTTTCTGCCTCCAGGGTCACGGATCTGAGCCCGGCAGTAAAGCCAATTCGAACACTTTGAAACAAAGACTCAGTTCATTCAATGCAAATTTATAGAGTAGTCTAGGTGCTGGGGATTTAGTAGTGAAGCAAGGAGACAAAAAACCACGCCCTCGAAAGGATTACATTGTAGTGGGGGACCGAGGAAAGACAATGGACCGTCTAGAATGTTGATGGGGCCAGTAAAGCAGTTGATGGGAGTGGGGGGGGGGGATGGTTTGCAGATTTAAACAAGGTGGGCCAGCAAAGCCTCACGGCGGTGAGGATGATTCAACAAAGATGGGAAGGAGGTGAGCTGCCCAGGTCTTGTGGGAGGAGCCTTCCAGGCCGGGAGGGGCTGTAGGCGGGAAGGCCCGAGGTGGGAGCAGCCTGGGATGTGGGAGAGGGCAGGGAAGGGTGAGAGAAGGTCAGGAGGCAGGAGATGAGGTGAGAGGGGGCTTCCCTGGAGGCTCAGCGGAAAATACAAAGCTCTTAGAGCTTAGAACTGAGGCTGGCACACAGTAGGTGCTCAATGAGTAACTGTTGAATCAATGATATGAATTATGTTTCACAAAAACACTCGTGGTGCTGAGTTGAAAACAGACTGATGGGTATGGGTGGTGTCAGGAGGCCACACTAGGAATCCAGATAAGAGGTGGTGGTGATTGGACCAGTGAGGGACAGCCAGGAGGAGAAGGGCTCAGCTTCTGGGTATATTTGGAAGGACCCGCTGACAGATAGGATGCAAGGATGAGAGGAGAAGCATCAAGAAGGACTCCTAGTTCTATGTCCTGAGCCCTGGAAGGAGAGGGATGCTCTGTCCTCAGAGGAGCAAGGTTGGGGTGGGTGGACTCAAGTTCCTCACTAGACACGAGATGCCTGGTTGACATCAGAGTGGCCGTGTGGAGCTTGTTCTGCAAGCCTGGAGTTCCAGGAGCGATCTGGGGCTGCTGGGCCCTCACCAGCATTCCCACCCTTGATGCCGGGTCCCACCCTGAGGACAGTGTCTGGAAGTGCAAGCAGAGAGCCCAGGGTGGCAAGGGCATTCACCCGAGGAGGGCTAGTCTGCCAAGAGTTCCAGCTTATCTCCTGGATTCACCCGAAGGTGAATCATCATCTCATCGTCATCGTCATCGTCATCCCCGTATCTAACAGGAGTGAGGGTTCTTGGTTGCCTGACCTGCTTTGCGTTAGGCTTCCTTGCTTTGCTGATTTCATCCCATAAGGAAACGATACCACGTCATCACCTGCATTTTCACCTACAGCAAACCTGAGTCTCAGCGATGTTTCATCACGCACCTAAGGTCACAGAGCTCGGCTCAGCGGAGCAGTGAGGGCAGCCTGTGGGAATACTGGGGTGACTGCCGGTTTCCTTGGGAGGTGATAGTGCCGGAGAAGGTACAGAAAGGAAAGGCGCTAACACTTACTGTCCCTCTGATCTGGAGCCAGGCACCATCTGGTATCTCACGCAGTCCTCGCAGGGACTGCCCTAGGAGAGCTTTGTTTTCTTCCTTTGGCAGAGACGGGAACTGGGGGTGTGGGGTTAGTGCTCGAGGTCACCCAGCAGGTGACTGATGGAGCTGCTCCCAAAGCCTGGGGGCTCTGACTCCACCATCCATTTCCTTCCACCAGACACCAGTAAAGGAGGGGAAATAGGAAAACAAAACAAAGCAGAGGAAGCACTGGGTGAATCACTGATCTTTGCGTCTGAGTCACCCCTGGCGGTGCGCTTTTGCTCCAGGGAGCGTGTGCGCGTGCGCGTGTGTATTGGTGGAGGGGGAGAAAGGAGTGCTGAAGCCCGTCTCTGCCCGTGTGTGGGAACTTTTGGTGGAGAGGGCAGCGCTGGGTGCTGGGAGTCCTTAGCACAGTGGTTCTCAACACCAGCTGCACGATGGCACCACCGAGGGAGCTCTTTAAAATTTTGATGCCCACGCCATGCTCCAGTATATGAGGGTGGACCTGGGTTTCAGTATTTTTTATTGTTTTGCCCTTGGTAGCTCCCAGGTGAATCCAGTTTGCAGCCAGGATTGGGAACCTTTGCCTCTAGAAGTTGTTCACAGCCTCCTGGGAGGTTTAGGGGGTAGGGACAAGCGATGGCTGGTGTGTGTGATGGCTGTGGATTGTCTCATCAGTGGACTCTGGCACCCCTTCCTTATTCGATTTCTTTCTGACTAACTGAAGGACCAGCTCCTGGCTAGATGGGGAAGCTGGCTGAGTTTCCTTCCCCATTCAGATGTGCAAGTCCAGGCATGAACTGGTGGGCTTTCATTTTATTGACGGACTTCAAGGAACTCCAGTCACCTTGCTGTGCTGTCTGGACCTCTACTCCCCTTGCCCCACCCCTGCTGGACTGTCACCTGCCTGGGAGCAGGGACAGTGGGCCATGCCTTGTAACCCCATTGCTGTATTATCACTAACCTGTGTTCACTGCGTGAATGAATCAGTGGACGGATGGATGGATGTCAGATGGGGTGAAACCTACTCCGTATTGGGCTTCTACTGTGTATCAGGCACTCGACATCCTAACCACCCAGAGAGGTAGGCGTTATTCATTCATTGCATTTTTCCTTGATGAGGAAACTGACACTTAAAAAGGTTAAGCAGCTTTCCTAAGACCATTGTACTAGTTAGTTACGGCACTGGGCTTCGAACTTAGGTTGTCTAGCTCCAAACCCCATGCATGGATTTTCTACTCCCTCACTCTTCAGATGGGAGAGTCTGCGCTTGGAACCAGCCCTGCCCCCAAACTCTGAGGATGACCGTGGACAAGGCTAAGGGAACTTCTACAAAGGAAAGTTGAAGCACATGAGACACTCACCAAGAGCAGCCGACCACGTTTTAGACTTCAGCCTCAACCACCACGCGAAGCTGGTTGGATCAAGCTCCTTAAGTGACGTGCCCAAGGTCACGTAGCCAGTAAGTGGCAGAGCCAGGAGGCAAAACCCAAGTCTGTCTGCCTGTAAATTTCATGATCCTTCCAGCAAACCACACTGCCCTCAATCCTGACCCAGCTGCATTGAATGCAGTCATGTTTGTCCACGAAAATAGCCAAACAGTTTAATCCAGAGGTCACTCGCTGCCCACAGAGGTGTTTAGTTTGGCCCATGGAGTGTTTTTAAAAAAAGTTTTCAATGTGTTGCCAACATTTAGAAATCCTACACAAATCTGGATTTCTTTCTGGATTCACTTGAAAACGGAGCAGACTGGATCAGACCAAGCTCACTTTTCTGCCTGGCCTCAGTGGCCAAAGCTTGCATTCACTAGTTTGCCATAACCCCTGTGATCTTCTCTTTGAGTTATTTGTGCCAGTGTTGCAACTGCTCATTTTTATTTCCTTGTCCTGGCTTAATGACACACACATCTCTGAGGACAGATTTAGCCTGGCCTGGGGATCGTCCATTGGTTGTTGGCCATTTGCTGACAGATTGTGTGTGTAGAGGAACACTTCTTTCTCTTTCCCCTCTGGCCCCAAAGCCTCTTCCTCTCTAGCATCTCAGAACCTGGACTCTCTTCTTTCTCGCATTAGGGTCTCATGAATTCAGACACTATGGCAGCATTTCCGGGAAGATGTTCAGTAGCACACTGGTGAATTGTGTGTGTGTGTGTGTGTGTGTGCGTGCACATGTATGCATGCTGTGTGTGTATATGAGTGAGTGTGTGTGGTGGGGTAGGTGGGTGATTGGGTAAAAATCTGCCTGGAAAAGTGTGTTCACTGTGCAAATAAGTTCGAAAACAAAAGTCCTCTCATGACAGCTCTCTTTTTGGAATTTGACAATGGACATGAACGTTTAAAACCTCTGAAAAGTTCTGTTTCACTTACTGAACCTTATTTATTCCGAAGTCTTTAGACCTATATGACCAGAGAACCCTTGGCAAGTGTGGTACTCATTACAGTCTCCTGAAAACCACAGTCTTCTCTTCAAATACAAGGAATGGAAATAGAGACTCATGATGAGAGGGAGCCAGGTGAACACAGGAGCTGACATTTAAAGACAGAGGGCTGGTGCTGGATTGGGAAGGTGGCTTTCCAGGCCCCTGGTGGTAAAGGCAGGCAGGATAGGCCGTCCCGGGGTCTGTACAGTCTATGGGTCCATGAGAGAATGTCTATAGAGTTGTGGTGCCTGGCACGTGGTGAGATGTCATTGCAACTTTAGGGAATCGTATAGTCACAATGAATTTCCTTTTAATGACCTTAAAGAACAGCTGTAAAAGGGGAAAGAAATGATGAGACAGTCTCATAGACGTGGAGGGGATTCTACTGCGGGAAGGCTCAGCCTGGTTTCCTTACCTGGGTACGGGGAGAGAGTATATGAGTGACTGCATACATTAGTAGTCTCAAACCTGAGTATGAGAATGGTCCAAGGAGCTTGTTAAAGTTGTAGATTCCCATCTCCACTTCCAGAGAATTGGAATGAGTAAGTCTGGGGTGGGGCTCAGGAATAACATTTTTAACCAACATGTCAGATTATTCTATGCGGATGGAATCTGCAAGTTTTCACTGAACAGAGTTTTGTGGGGCTAATAATGAGTCTCAGTAAAAGGGGGGAAAGATGGAAAGATGGCAGAATCAATGGTAATTACTTGGACCGCTAAAGACAGATGACTTGGCATGAAAGTTGAGGCATGAACTGAGGTCAAAAGAGCAGAAAGTGCTCATAAGTTAACCATGATTGTTTTGACTTGGAATTTTGTGCATAACCCTCACCAACAACCCACTTCAGGAAATATAATGGGTTAACTGAGGATGAGAGAGTCTGCTGTGTGAATATGCAGTGGTGTGTATTAGAATCATAGTTATGGGGAAAGCTGGATTCAGCATTAAGGGAAGAAGGGAGTTCTTGGGTTTATGAGGCTTTGCGTAACTTTTCAGAAGTTAGCCTGCTGTGTCATGATGCCTAGTGACGTCTTTTCATCATGCTGGATCAGGTGTCTTGAATAAATACTTAGATGATTCAAGCTAAGTGAATCACAGTCCAGATAGAAGCAGGAGACCAGAAAGTCCCAGAAAGGAGGTCTCTGAGAACAACAAAGGAAATGGTAGAACCCTGTGAAGAGCAAACAAACAACAAACAGCCTCTCCCCCGGCATGGGGCTATTCTAAGGACAAAGAGTAAAGAAAAAGCAAAGGCAAATAGAAACCCCAGGAAAAACAAAAGACTTCATAATAAAGGAAATTCAAACAAGTGCGCTATCTCAGGTCACAGTGAAAAACGTTTACATAATCCTAATATTGTAGATAGTGGTTTATAACCAAAAATGTGCCAATGATATTGGAAGATGGGGGCGATGTCAGGTGGTATTAAGGAACTCAGACATTAGCTATCATATAGGGATCATTCATAGATTATCCACAATTGATATTTAAAGCTGATCAATATATAACTGAAGACATGTATTGAGTATTTGCAACTACCAGAAGAAAGGGCTGAAAGTTAAAAGTGACTGTAGTAACCAGAGAAACATGGGTGGGTGGTAGGAAGGGATGGTTTCAGGCTGCTGGGTTTTATTCTTTCAAGGCTACTAAATGTTTTAGAGCCATGTTATTTTAATTTACAATATTACTGAAATATCTGGAGCTCTGCAGGGTCCTGGTGCCCCTGGGAGGTCATGGGCAACCAGCAAAGAGTTCTACCACTAAGAAAAGAGAGCCAGGCTTAGGTCTTGACTGGTGGATGCCCCTTCCCTGGACTCATCCATGGATGGAGAACAGAGAAGACAGCCAGGTTCTGGGTGCCAGAGGAATGCAGCATCCCTCCCTCCTCAGGAAGAGCCCAGCCTCTGGCCTCTAATCACGGCCTGGGGTAAGGGGCGGGGGGTATTTCCTGCAGAACTGGAGCCAGGCCAGAGGAAGGGCAATGGGTGGGGGTCCCTGGGCCAGAGCTGGGGATGCCGGGGGCTGGCCGGATGGTGCGTGTGGGGTGTCACTTACGTGCACATACTCCTACTGCGTACCTCGGGCTGTCCCCACTGTAGTCACAGTAGAGGCCCCGGTGGGGGTCACAGACAGCAGCCTCCGTGCAGTTGTCCCCGAGCTGCTGAGCGCATATCTTACAGCACTCGCAGCCGTCTGTGATGAGGCTGACCCCCAGCGGGCAGCGGGGCGGGGAGGGCGGGCACTCGCACGGCCACTTGCAGAACTGGGGGTGCGCAGAGGTGTCCTCCAGGGGAGCCGGGGTGAAGACCGTGGCCGTGGGAGCTGGAGAGAGGGCCTGCAGGGGAAGGGCAGACATAAAGGGAGCTGCCAGGTAAGGGGTTCAGAGGCCAAAGGTCTGCAGTCACCTTCCCATCTTCATGGTGTTCAAAAGGTTTATGCGAAATTATGTTTCTCCACCATGCTTTTACTAGCCAGATGTCTCCTTTCTCCTCAGTGCAACCATAGGAGGAGCCGGAGTTCAGAGACTTAAGCCAGTTGCCCGAACTCCCCAGCTGGTAGGCCGGGGGGCAGGGGGCAGACTCTAGGTCAGATCTCTGAGCCCCATGGGTGTTTCCTTCCCTTCTGATCATCCCGAAACCTGGGAGGTCCTTGAGTTGGCCTCGATGGAAGATGAGGGAGCTACAGCTTTGAGTAAATGCCTTCTGATGTGGCACGGCCCGCACCCCATCAACTGGTTGCTCTTTTCTCTGTGTCCTAAAGATCTACCCTCTCCACTGAGGTTTCAGGTGTACAGCACAGTGATTCAGTTATACATACATACATATACACGTGCACATATATGTAAATTCTTTTTCGGATTATATCCCCTTATAGGTTATTAGGAGATATTGACTATAGTTCCCTGTGCTCTACAGTAGGTCCTTGTTAGTTACCTATTTTAGATACAGTAGTGTGTATCTGTTAATCCTAAACTCCTAATTTATCCCTCTACCCCCCTTTCCCTTTGGTAGCCATACATTTGTTTTCTATGGCTGTAGGCCTACTTCTGTTTTGTAAATAAGTTCATTTGTATCTTTTTATTTTCAGATTCCACATATAAGTGATATGCATATTTAACATCGGGTTTCAGGCAGGTATTTTTATTAATTTTCTTCTCCTTCTTATTTCCCCTCTGAGCCCCAGGAAAGGGCTGCATGGGTGGCAGCGGTGTCCAGCCTCGTGGCTCCTGCAGCTGGCTTGCTCTGCCTCCGTAGGGAAGGGAGTCATGCTCTTGTTGCTGGTGCAAACCATGCAGAGAGGGGTCTTATTTTGCGCTAAGGGTAACGGACCACCACTCCACTTCCCCCACCTGTACTCCTCCCCAGAACCCCATTCCCATCCCCTAGCCCATATATTCATCTTTATGCTGGCAAATATGATGGACAGGACAACAGGCCAGCAGGGAAGGAGACATAAGTCCCAAAGAGCCCCCCCTGCGCTGAAGATCAGGCAGATAGAATGGGAGGCTGCTCTGGGGTGCCAGCCAGTATTAGGAGCTTCCAACTGCCTGTATCTTAGGGATCCAGTCCCCCGCCCGGCCCCTCTGGCTGCCTTCCTGAACGGCCCTCCTGGCCCCTCACTCTTTATACTGGAGGAAACCTAGGCCCAGGGAGGAAGGGAATTGCCTGAGGATGGAGAGTGGAGGCTGCATTTTCCCACCCCCAGGCGGTGGTTCCTGCTGGGGAGCCTCCTGTCTGGGGCTCCTGAATTCTGAGGTTAGCGGAGGTGGAGCCAGGGCTTGTGCGGGGTGCCCCACGGGCCAGCTCCTCCGTCTTGAACCAGAGCCTGCTCTGTGGACTTACAGATCTGCGCTTCATTCTTTGAACAATAGATGCTGAGATATTCCGACAGATTCCTTCTTTTCCTGAGGAGGAAAGCGAGATCCAAAAGGCAGATGGACACATCCAGGATGACACGGCCCATGTCAGGGCCTAGGCACAAATGACTCTCCAAGCTCTCATTTCTGGGACCTTTACCTCTGCCCCCTCTGGGCTCTTTCAGTCACTCCACAAACATTTGCTGAGCTAGCTCACCATCTCTCTTAAGTTTTAGGCATTTGAAGATGAAGTTAAAAATGTCCTGTGCTTGTGGTGCCACAGCTTATAGGAGAGACAGTTATTCGAGGTGATTTATCACAATGTGAGGTCGTGTGTGAGTGCTGGGCACCGGGGCAGCCCCGGGAGCTCTCTGACTACCGGGGCAGGAAGCTCTCTGCCGAGGTGAGTGGTGTGCATCCTTGAGTGCTTGGCTGTGAGAACCAGAGACCAGGAGAGATGGTCCAGGTTGAAGTGTTGGATTAGTTGGGCTCTTGGTTCTGTGCTCGGCACATAACAAGTGCAGTAAATATTGATTTGACACATTAAGGGCCTTTGAAAGTCAAAAATGCAAACGTTGATTTGAGGCTTTCATCACCTCTAGGCTTGGTTTCAGGCAGGTTTGCTGGTGGGGAGCAGATTGCGCTGGAGGTTGGCAGGGCTTGTCTGTGTTCATCGGGAAAGCATTTAGGTTACCTTCCTTTGTTTGCTTTTCCTCGAAAAGTACAACGTGACACACAAAACCCCAAACCCCCAAATCAATGAAACCACACACTCACACATACACACACACACACACACACACACACTCACACACCCTCATCTTTCTGACTCTATGCAGAGAGACTTTTCCTTGTCAGTCTGTGACAGTGGAGGCCTGGAGCTTTATGAGTCCCCCAGACCACCTCTGACAGTCTCTAGACCCTCAAGACCTACTCTTGGCAGAGGAAATTAAAAAAACCCTCTCCTCCAGGAAGCCTTCCATGCCTTTCCCAGGTTGTATTAGAGGTGCTGCCTCCCCCACTAAAATGTGAACTTGTAAAGGGCAGAGTCTGTGCCTTACTTCTCTCTGTGGGCCTGAAACACGGCTCACGGCCCACAGCAGGGCTGTGTAAGTGTCGCCTGGTGGAATGGATGGATGGGGAATTGTTGACTCTAAGGGGCTTTGGTGTCTCTTGATTTTCCAGGGTCTACCATCTTGGAAGCTTTTTTCTCTGCTCTAAGTTTGAGGGTCAAGAAAACAGCATGGGACCTGAGACAGTCAGAAGTGGGTTCTCTGTGTCCTTGGACAAACTTTCTGAGCCTCAACATCCCCATCTGTGAAATGGCCACAGTAATGCCCCCTCGGGAACTGTTGGGAGGGTGGAGGCATTGTGTACGCAGAAGCACTGTGTATGCAGGCCTGGCAAAGGGCAGACACTCGAAAGCACGACTTTGCCCTTGCGCTCCCTTGCTTGTGCACCCTGCCTCGCACCCACACAGCCCAGCACAAGACTTGGGGTCTGGACACTTTGAACTGAGCTGGGATGGTCTGGAATCTGGATAGTAACAACCTCCACGTGGTTACTATCCATCCTGCTGTCTCCATACCAAGTTAAACCTCCCCAGAAGGAAGCCTCATTTCCAAGCACATGCCGGGAGCCCCAGGGCACTCAGCTCCTCAAGGGGAGCTGCAGAGAAGGCCCCCGCCTTGGATGAGGGAAGCAGGTGATGGCACCCTGGGGCAGTGGAGGGAGGGGCCCCGGGTCCGCTGAGCCAGGCCCTTGCTGTTGGCGCCATCTAGTGGTAGAAATCTCCCATCCCTAGAAGGTCCTTGATGAGAGCTGTGGGGTGGGAAGACCTTTAGACCCCAGGGCCTGAGGACTCCTCATTTTGGTGCATGACCCTCTGAATCCCGACTGCCTTGTCCAGCACCCACACCCCAGGGAAAGTGACTGCACACACACACACACACACACACACACACACACACACATCAGCCACCTTGAATACCCAAGATGGCACTGCATGTCCGCCTGCCCTTGGTCACGGTACAGGGACTATTGCAAACTCACTGGGCCTACGTCATTTTTTATAACAGCAGAAGCTAAGGGTGAACAAAGGGAAGGAAAGCAGTCAGAAAGCAAGGAGAATATCTATCGTCTGGAGAAAAAGCCAAAGAGAATCAAGAAGAGCCCTGGGTACTTGCAAATTGCAGCTGTTCACATAAGAGTCTCTTTTACAATGTGCTTCTGCATGTGGACTCCCCTTGGACACCACTGTGTTTACAGGAGACAGGAGGGTGGGGCTGTGCCCTGATGCTTCCCGGGCTGGGCACCCAGGGCTCAGGCTCCTGCCTGGTTCTGCCCGCTCAACCCCTCAGCTCCTGGGCTGAGCCCACTGCCCACCTCCATCCTCAGAGACCCCAGGGCAGTGCCTCACACAGTCACTTCCTACCATGGCTCCCAAACGTTGCCGCATGTTAGAACCACCCAGAAGCTTTGATAAACACTGATGCCCGGCCACTGTCCGCAGACAGCCTGACTGAAGTGGTCTGGGCAGAATCCTGGGCACTGAATGCAGCCGAGGGTGACAAGGGTCCACTTGCCTAAGGACCTGGTTAAGATACAGATGCCTGAAGCTCACTTGGAATATTCAGCTTCAGCTCTTCTATGCTGGGCCCAGAATGTACATGTTGACCTGCACCTCTGGTGATTCTTGTGAGAATGGGAACCCTCGTCTTAGAGAACTGGGCCAGGGGAGGGTACGATGGGGAGATTCTAGGCCATTTTCCTTTCTTAACATGACTTTTCTAGAACATCACTTACACGCCTAACCTGTCGACAGCTTGATCAACCTTCCACAAAGCAGTCCAGGCCAGACTGCAGAACACACACCGTTTTCGGTAAGCAGGCCTCATGTAGTTAATTGAAAATGATGTACTTTGCTTTTACTGTTTTGTGAGAAAGACTGAAAAATGAAAGAAATAGAAAAGGAGCAGCTCCCCATGATAAGACCCCTAAGTGTCAGCTGGGTACTGAATGAATGTGTCCCCTCAAATTTATATGTTGACGTTCTAACCTCTCTAAAGGTCATGGTATTAGGAGGTGAGGTCTTTGGGGGGTGATGAGGTCATAAGGGTGGAGCCCTCATGGAAGGGATTAGTACCCTTTTAAAAAGGAACGCAGAGAGCTCCCTGGCTCCTTCCACCATGTGAAGACACAATGAGAAGATGCCAGTTATGAAAAGGGTCCTCATGTAGAATGTGACCATGCTGGCCTTGACCGTGGACTTCCAGCCTCCAGGACTATAAGCAATAAATTGTTGTTTGTTAGCTACCCGGTGTGTGGTTTCCTAAAGAAGCCCAAAGGGACTAAGACCATGTCTGCTACTTAACCCTCTGGGCAGGGGGGGTAATCAGTAGGCAGGTTGGAAGCAATGAATCAATCCATTTAATCATATTTATTGGACAAACTTAAGCAGATTCAAATTAAGAAGGAAAACATTTTTACAACAATAAATGGTGGTAGGCATGGGAGCAGAGAGTAGGAGGCTGGCAGTGGTGGGGTGCCACCCTGAGACCTTAATCATCCTGATCGATGATGGAGCCAGACCCCACCATCCTCTGAGAGTGTGTGTGGTTCATCGATGAACAGGGCCCTGGGACCAGGAGGAAAGGGCAGGGCACCTGCAGTGAGTGGAACCCATTTCCCAAGGCTCTGTGACCTGGGGCCGTGCTCACCCTCTCTGAGCTTCAGTTTCCTCATTTGTAAAATAGTAATGATGACAGCATCCTC